ATATAGATAAATTATCTTTTTTTTATAATAATATTTAAACTGTGATGCTTAAATTTTTATGATTTTTATCCAGATGATTTAAAAATATAACGAAAAAATACCATCAAATCAAAGAATGAAAAATAAAAATGAAAAGCCTATTATTGAATTTTTTTTTATATTCCAATTATAAAATGTTCTTAAAATTAGATAATCATTATAATATTTTGCAAATTAAGATTTAATGTTCTTTTTAAATCCCATCAAAGGTTTGATTTTTGAAGATTTCTAGAATAGGAATGCATCACCATTAGAAATTCAAAAATTGGTATATTTGGAGTTTTGGTGAAAGTCGGTCCAAAATATCCATGAAACATGGGGTAATATTTCAAATTAAGAAAAGAGTTTATTAAATTATTAACAATTCCAATATTATATTTTGCCATTGGATTTGCGAAAAAATTAAAGCCAATAAAACGCCAACAGCGAAGTTCAAAAAAAAATAGAAGTAAAAATGGACCCTTTTATCTCAATTAAAAGAAAGGCCTTAAATCCAATTTTAAAACCGCCAACGGATTAATATATATATATTAAAAAATTTAATGGTTATTGAAAAGATTAAACGGCAAATTTATGAGGGAAAATAACTTTATTTTCAAAAAAATATTAAAATCCATTGAAAATTAGATATTAATTTATGAGAAAGGGATATATAAATAATTGAATTTTTGAGAACCCAAGGTCCAAAGCTCATGTTTTTTAATCGCGTTTTTAGAAAAAAAACTTGTGACAATATTGAATTTCAGTGGATTTATTAGCATGATAATAAAACCGCATATTTATCCCCAGTTTGGAAAAATAGATGAATTTCCCGAAAAGCTTGAAAATTATGGAAGCTTGTAAATCCTTACGTGTTAGATTAAAATTTCAAAATTTAATGCCCCCCCCCCCCCTAAATATACAACAGGTGAGTATGGCATATATGGTGTTTATCACGGAATTAACTTTTTTTTGTCATAATCGCATCGCTTTTTTATAAATCAAACTTTATGATGAACATATAAAAAATATATAAAACACCAAGAAACCCTCCCCCCCTCAAGTTGAATTTGAAAATTTCAGATTTTCTGTTCAAATTATTTTGATTTTGCTTTTAAAGTCAATAACAACTTTAAACCACTTTTTTAATGCAATTTTATTTTCTAAATATAAAAAATAGACCCATTTAGCCGGATAGTGCGCGGTTTTTGGCTTTTCTTTGGCGCTTATGGCGGGCCAAATGGCAAAGTTATTTCGCCGGAAACCCATCCTTGATAAGGTTTTGTTGTATATCTTATTTAAAAATTCCCAAAGATATTTGAAAGTTAAGTTTTTTTCGATAAGCAACTTCCAACATGATAATATGTTTTATTTTTGAGCCAAGGCAGGCACCGCTGTGAGTTTTCGGCGTGTCCATAGCCTATTCTTTTGGTTTCCATTTGTTTTACTAGCAATATATTAAAGACTTTCTTTTAAATGGCGTTTAAAATGTTCGTATAATTTGAATGCCCCCCCCCACTTCCTCCAACAAGGGGGTGCTAGGACTTATGCAGTTTGATTTCACCCACTTAGCCATGGGGGAGAATAAGTCAAATCTAATATTTTTGAGTCCAAATGAGTGGTTACTGACTGGGGTTGGCTTGATTTTAATGATAAATGTCTCTCTTAAATTGTTTAAGTTGGATATTTTCACCTTTGAACGATTATAATGGAAAGTCCATTGTTTAATAATTTAACCTGAAGGTAATGGGAAGGACTAGGGCTAACTCGTTTTGCAGAGTACAATTGTAATAAGACTCAAGTTTACAACTTATTTATAATTAACATCAGATAATAACTAAAATGAATGTGAAAATGTGATATAATTAGAATCTGTTTTCAACAGGAATCATGTACTATTTTTTTTTCTCCAATAAGTCTTACACTGAAGATTCTGCATCTTCAAAAGCAGATTTCAAGAAGTGCATTCCCTTGAAGTTAGAGTTTGAAAATGTCTTTTAATTCAATCTATATTTAAAATAATCTGATGTCATTCTTTAGTGATATAATTTCCAATCCTATCAAGGATTAGATTGTCATAGTATATCATGTGATTTTATTAATTTTTTAATAACGCTTCATGTTAACAATAAAATTGCTAGTATAAAATACGGAGCATAATATAAGATTAGCATTTAAGATGTTTTTGACATTGTTTATACGCAGATTTATATTATGGAACTAAAATATATTTAGTATGAACATTTCTACTCATACACAAAAGGGTCAGAAAAGGCTGACTAATTGTGTTGCATGTTAATTGTATTGATTTTACTTTACGGCAAAAAAATGTACCATGAGAGGAATAACCTGTATTTCATTCTATATTTAAAAAAATACATCAATAGTCAACAAAATAGTGGTTAAATATTATTGCCTTATCATTTGCTTATAGATCCTTTTCCCAATTCAACATATTTTAATTATATATTGCACAATTATAATTACCAATAAATCATCTGTGGAAATAATTTGATTATTTTTGAAGAATTTTCTAATAGCAGGTTATACTCTATTATTTTCATTAATTATTGAGTTCATTTAATTCGAGTAAAATACATTACTTTACTATTGTTTTCTATTAGATTTGATTTAACTATTATACAATGAAATAACGATTTTATTTTTGAGAGAAATGTTTCTAGTTTTTTTTTTTTACCACGACTAATTTTATCCGAAGCCATATACAAGATCCATTACAATATTATATATGACCTACCCTACATTTTTTTTAAATCTTCAAGGATTTTATACATAACTAAATATCTCTTGTACACGCAGTTATAATTCTCAATGTATAGTGAACTAAAGAGACTTATTTAATATATTATTGAATAAAGCTTCTTTCTAATAAAGTGTTAAAAACATTGGTTTAATAGCTTGTAGTATGATAAAAAATGAACAAATTATAAAATTTATGTCTATATATTTATAACCTTTGTTTCATTTTATTATACTCTGAAGGCCGAAATACATTGGACTGTATTATTGATTTTAAATAATTTATTTTCAGATTATTTATATTTCAGTCTATAGCTGATTTCCCTTATTAAACGTATTTAATAGAAAATAATTGAAGTAACTTCGATATGCTACTCTAGAGCATTTTTAGAAAAATGCATATGACTTATTATTGGTTACATTTTTGGGCGCTATCTTTTTTTTTATATATATACAGTCTAGCAAATCAAGTGGTGTATCAAGTCAAATAATGTCTAATGAGTTGTCGTTAGATCCCTCAAAATGGATTGCTATAATTGAAAATGCAAAGGTAAAATGCTTGACTTCTGTAGTATCTGCTAAGAACGTCAAGCATATACTTTCTACGGCAACCATTCGCTCTCCTCAAAGAAATCTATTGACCGCCATACAACCCTTTATACAAGTAATGCTTAACAGTGTTTCAGGAACGTCAATACTCACTTCACTTATTAAATATGGCACAAACAAAACAATCGATGCTGTTGCAAAAGAGGTTTCCGGTAATTACAGCGAATATTTTAAATTTATGAAACCTATTCAATCTGACTTATTAATATCTCTTGGCGAACTCTTAGATGCACTTATATATCGTGTAGACTGTAAGGGAGAACATCGCAATGCAATACTGGAGAATATGAAATCTTGTGATTTAAAAAATTTGTTCGGATCAACATTAACACTGGTAGCAGCTGGCCGTTTATTTTCAAATGATCACGAGTTTTTAAACCTTATTCAAGACAATGAGAAAGTGAAGTCGGCCATTTGTCAATCAGCTAGAACAAAGGAAACAAAGCTAGCAGCGTTGCGTTGTTGCGAATTAATAATAGGTGAGGATAGCAGCAGAGTAAATCAGAAAGGCACTTCAATGATTGGGTTATTATTCCTTTTCAGTGTTTTTAAGAAATCTCTAGACAATTATGCTACAAGACCGTATGTAGAGTTCATTGAACTTTTAACTCGGCATTCTCCACCGCACATTGTTTCTGAAATATGCGAACTCCTACAACAATGGCCAGATATCTTTGAGCTTTCAAAGAAGGATTCATACAGTGAAGTTATTTCTAATATTTTAGAACGCGGATCTAATGAGGAATCGTGTATTACTTTTCTTGGAGTAATTTTTAAGAGTATTGATGACATTGATAATCGTTTAAACTCTACCAAAACAGTTAATTGGAGACTTCTGGCTGCTATCGAAAGGCTTCCCTCTGCAGTCAGCTTTCTCGAAAAGAAAATCAGTATTCCAATCCGCCCGAGGCTTCGTGCAGCGAAAGTACGCTATGAATCCGCTACTATTCCAAAAGCTGAAGCAACTCGAAAAAATATATTAGAAAAGTTTAGACAATTACGAAGCAAAGATATAGTGAAGCGAGCACGAGAAGAAAAAAAATTTTAAATATATATTAAAATGTGCAGTAATTCTAAGTATGGTGCACAGAGTAAAAATTGGATACGGTTAATAGTTATAGCATTCAGCTTACAACTTGTAAGACACACTTTGCTTTTTCATTTAACAGAATCATTAGAATAATAATAATAAGTTACGTAAAAAAAAAATTGTTTTTGCTTTTAGTTTCCCATTTTTTTTGAATTTTCTACTGAAGATGTAAGTTGCCAAGCAAGGGAATGAATAGGTTAGTAATTTCAGCGGTTTTACGAGACAGTGGAACATTAAAGTTATCTCGACGCCACAGTATTTTCGAGCACAAAACCAAAGGATCTTCTTACATGATACACTTAGATATATATGCTCGACGAGACCCTCAACTTGCGCCATACCTTCTCCAAGAAATAGACATAGAATACAAGCGGAAATGTCGAAAAGTAAATTTTTTAATCTGGCTTCTTACCTTTACTTTAGTTGTTGCTTTCCAGACCCGTCTTCAGGGGGAAACTTTACATTACATGCAATTGTATGCATCCCGCATAAAGGCAGAGCACATATCAAGAGATGAAGATTACACTCAACGTCTCAAAGTATTTCTTTGTTTGATGAATACAATAAAAGATTCATTCGACCGTGACCAAAAGTGGACCAAGGCAGATGAATCTAAGGCACTCAAATGTTTTGAAAAGTAGTACCTTATTGATCATAATTCAACATTGCTTCTTTATAAGTTTATTGGTTATAATTACTAATATTAGACCTAGCTATAAATGTAGAAAGCAGTTCGGTGTCTTCAGATTTTTTTTGCATAATAATGAATTACTCTGAAAATATATGTTAGGATAATTCGATACAATAAGCAAAAATGCTAATAATGAATGTTTATAACACCATTTTGTCATTTAGTTTTCCACGATTTGTACAAAAATTCTCTGATTCTTTTTCTATTCTGAAGTTTTCGAGTTTAAAATGCTCTACGAACTTTTTGTGCTAGTTGCAACTTTAGCTTCAACTTTTATGGCTGCGGATACCACTGCGCATATCTTAGATGTCAATCCAGAGCGTATTTCCAAAATATTATTGTATATTTGGATCGGTACTCTAGTCTTAACGTTGCTAGATGGTGACTGGATGAGTACCTTGGGATGTGTTCATACGTTTTTTTACCTTGCCTGTGCACTTTTAGCATATATGTCTCCAGGTGAGGATAATCTTAAAAGGGATTACATTCGGATTCCATTGACTATATTTGTCCCTACGTTTCTCAGCTTTTACATTATGCATTATTCTACACAATTTGAAGAATGATCTAAATGGGATCATATATAGTCGTATTTTATCCGCACGCTATGACCTCAATATAATAATTGTGAATTATTATTATTGCAATCTGGTCTTCATGAATTGTAGAGTTATTCTATTATAATAATAATATTTTTTTCGCTTTCAATATATAGAAAGAGATTGATCTTTTGTCGTGTGTTTACCTTCTACAAGTTTGTATAGGGTATTAGTTTTCAAGCATGACTTTTATAATTTATGTGCTCTTTTTTTCTCTGATTCTAGATTGAATAACAAGCGAATAGAACATTTTTACAAGAGACCGATATCTTTTTCCAAATGAATATAACTGTAGCTGAGACGATTCGTCAGCAAACAGATGATTTAAGAGATGAATTAAAGGACTTGAATCAGTGGGTAGACAAAATGGCGAAGCTTGAAGAATCAAAAAAGTGCCGTAAGACAAAGCCTTCTTCAGTCAAAGCAGAAATCCCTATTCGTGGTACAGTTCCATCTATTAAACAGGCGCTTGTCGAATTGGCACGTAAAGAAGGTAAACAACTACCTCCAGAGCAAGACCCAGTTCACATTCAGAAGGAAAAGGGTAATGAATATTTTATTGTCGGTAAATACAAGGATGCAATAGACACATACACAGCCGGGATAGAGTTGGATCCGAAGGGCATCATGGCACATGTTCTTTATGCGAATCGAGCCATGTGTTGGATTAAGGAAAAACAATGGGAAAAGGCCGAAAAGGATGCATCCGCCTGTTTACAGATGAACCGAAGCTATGCCAAAGGATATTTTCGACGTGCAATATCACGTAAGAATCTGCATGACTTAAAGGGGGCTCGCTCCGACTTGGAATCCGTGTTGGCGCTTGTACAAAATGACACTTCTGCGCTTGAGGAACTCAATACAGTAACTAAAATGATACAGCTTGAGCGTGAAAAAGCCGCGGCCCCCATAACAACGAGGAAACGTATTACCATCGAAGAAGTTGACGATAGTGATACGGAGTCATCAGAACGCATCAAGCATTCAGAAGAAATGCAACAAAAAGAACAGGCTAAGAAAAATATGGAGGAACTTGAACGTGTTATTCGAAATAATGAACGTGTTCGGTTAGAAACTACATTAAAATTAGAAAAAGAAATGAAGGCAAAGTGTCGTCAGAGCACACGAGTTGAAATTGTAGAAGCTGAGGATAAAAACAGCGGTGCTTGTAAACCATCTGAGGTTGTAGAAAATTCAGTTCGAAACGTGCCTGATAATTCATTTCATAGGACAAAATATGTGGATGAGAAACCCGGTTCACTACCACCGCAAGTTATGAATGACGTCATTAAAAATAACACGTCCTCTGATGATCATTCAGACAAACTGAATGGAACTGTGCATCTGCGCCGAAAGCTAACAAAGGAATCACTAAAAACCCCGAAATCATTTATTGAGTTTGAGAAAGTTTTTTCGGAGATTGAATCTGATGATGAACTTAGGAATCATTTTATCAGTTCCATAAATCCGGCATTATTTCCATCTCTTTTTGGAAGTAATATGACGCCCGAAATATTTATCGGACTTTTGTCTACTATACGTCAACTTCCAGGTTCCACAGCTCTACAATACCTCAAAGGGTTGAGTCGCGTCAATCGCATAGAGGATATAACTTTATTTTTGGATACCGAAGAGAAGAATCTGGTTGATGATGTTTTGTCCTTACTTAGGAATGGTGGCGTTCCTGAAAAAGAAATCATACCGATTCAACGCAAGTTAAAGCCTCTATGAGCATTATAATTGAAATTAAAAGTCCATTGCACAGTTTCTAATATGCTTCTCTGATAATGGCTTAATTATTCCTATTTAGATAAGGGTTTAGTGGTATTTTGATTATTTACTTTATATTATTTTGTTATATATTACTCCTTAAATTAATTATTATATAGACCTTCTTTTTAAAAAGGTTATTTTTTACTAGTCATATGGATCCATATAATATGTATTGTTGAGGTCTCATGTTGGTATACTACCAATTTTTGAATATTTATCCTTATGTTGCGTGCTGGTGGTGCTTCGTTTAAAAAGATTTGTGAAAAAAGCTAGGATCCATAATAAAACTAATTTAAGTTAAAAAGGGATAATATGGTCAAGGAAACAAAGTACTACGATGCCCTTGGAGTGTCCCCTACGGCAACCGAGGATGAAATCAAGCGTGCTTACCGTAAGCTTGCGTTGAAGTTCCACCCAGACAAGAATAAGGATCCTAGTGCGCCAGAAAAATTTAAAGAAGTGTCTGTAGCCTATGAATGTTTGTCAGACTCGGAAAAGAGGAAAATGTATGACCAGTTTGGTGATAAAAGTGAGGGGATGGAAAGTGGCATTGATCCTAGCGATATCTTCGCTAGTTTCTTTGGTGGTGGTACCCGATCACGTGGTGAGCCGAAACCAAAGGATATTATCCACGAATTGCCTGTGTCTCTGGATGCCTTTTATACCGGTAAAACCGTTAAGCTTGCTATTACACGAGACCGTCTGTGCACGAAGTGTTCAGGCACTGGCTCTAAAATTCCTAATGCGAATATTAAATGCCGAGATTGTAACGGGCGTGGTGTCCGTATGATAACTCGGCAACTCGGACCTGGTTTCATCCAACAGATGCAGGTAGCCTGCCCGGCGTGTCAAGGTAAAGGAACCAGTTTGAAGGAGGAAGAAAAATGTGAGATGTGCAGGGGTCAGCAAACCATCAAGGATAAAAAAATATTTGAAGTTGTTGTACAACGCGGTATGCATCGCGGAGATAGCGTCACATTCCGTGGTGAGGGTGACCAAATTCCAGATGTACGACTTGCTGGAGACATTATAATTATTTTTGAGCAGAAACCCCACGCCTCATTCGTTCGGAAGGGCAATCACCTTTTCATTGAGCGCTCCATCTCGCTTTCTGAGGCACTTACTGGCTTTTCATTTAACATTACCCACTTGGATAATCGTAAATTAACGGTTCAATCCCCAGAAAGTGCGGTGGTAGATCCTGCGAACTTGTACAGTATTTACCGTGAAGGCATGCCAGTACCTAACACTGGTGGTGTTGAGAAAGGTGACCTTGTAATCAAGTTCAACGTTGTCTTCCCTAAGACAATGGATCCGGGTTTAATTCAAAATCTCCGTGTTGCTCTCGGATACCCGAATCAGTCAAAGACGGATGAGGACTCAGAAGTATGTATATTGCAAGAAACAAAGATTGATCTTGAAAAGGAAAGCCGCCGTAACGCTTACGATGATGATAGTGATGATAACAGGCCTCGTGGACACACTGCTACGTGCGCGCAACAGTAGGGCGTATGAACGTATCAAAGACGGAGTTTATAACGTAACATAATTTGAGGAAATGTGCGTTTTACATGAATAGGAAACACTTTTAGTGACCTAAGTATTTTACAGATTAGATAAATGCGCATTACTTTAAAATACTCATAACTCTAGACTCCAAGGATTGTCTGCGTGTTATTATTATTATTATTATTAATATTATTATTATTATTATTATTACTATTAAGCTTGTAAATACAATATATTTAATCACGTAATTGTTGTTACCAATATATTAGGTGTTCCTAGTAATAGCAAGGAAAAAGGTACAGTGTAGGGAGCCTGAAGGAAGTGAGAAAAGTGTTTGCATACTTCATTCTTTCGTCATATTGTTAGACGTATATCTAAACTCTGTCATGCACGAAAGGATGTATAAAATAAGTATTGGTGTTTTAAGTTAATAAAATATAAGTAACTAACTACCCAAGCAGCACTGCTTTATGGTAATATGTTGATAAAACTTTTTCTATAAGTATTGGAAGTATTACTATCACATTTAATTTTGGTGTATTGATGTCTTTAGTTTATGTGTAATCTTTTTCTTTGTGTTCGTAAATGATTCTATATTAATAATACTCAAGATGCACAATAAGTACTTTCATGGATGACTTCGTCCATTTTTTTTTACAAGCCGCTTGATGGTCCTAAATTAGGCGTCTCCAATCGCTTAATCATGCGAAACGGGGAAACTATTCCACAGTTGGGCTTTGGCACGTATCGACTGCATCAGAGTGAGGTTGAAGCTGCAATCACCTATGCTATTAGTTGCGGGTTTCGTCACATTGATTGCGCTAAGGCCTACTTCAACCAAAAAGAAGTCGGTATTGCGTTACAAAAAGGCTTCAAAAATATGCTTGCTAAACGAGAAGATATGTTTATAACGTCCAAGTTGTGGTCCACGGATCAACATCCCGATAATGTTGAATCAGCCTGCCGTGAAACTCTAAAGGAGCTACAGCTAGACTATCTGGACTTGTACCTTATCCACTGGCCAGTGTGCTGGAGATATTCCCCTAAGTTCAAAACAGAGGACGACAAATACCCTAAAAATTCAGATGGGTCGCCAGCCATAGTCGAAAATGTGAGTCTTTCGGATACGTGGAAAGCGATGAGTGAATTGGTAGATAAGGGTATCGTGCACTCCATTGGGTTGTCTAATTGTAATGAGAAACATTTGAAGGAGGTAATGAAGCAAGACTCGCTTAACGCACCTGTCCTGAATCAAATAGAGTTCCACCCTGCCCTAGTAGACCATGGCTTGGTGGCCTGCAACAAGAGGAATAATCTACTTACCGCTGCGTACTGCCCACTCGGTATGGCGACGCGCACTACTCCCCCAGAATTTGTTCCTCTACCGAATGAAGCGACAATTAAGCGGCTTGCTGAGCGGTCTGGATTTTCACCTCAACGCCTGCTGCTCAATTGGAACTTGGATCATAGTAATGTTGTAATTGTCAAGTCAAGTAAAGAAGAACACATTAAGTCTAATTCTATGGCAGCAAGGTTTGCACTTAGTGATGCTACTAGACTTGTTTTAGATGGCTACCAAGAAAGTATAGCGAAATTTCGGGTGATGAATCCAAAAAATTTTACTCAACTCGGAAAGTCATTCTTTACATAGTTCATATTATTACGCCGCAAAAATTATATTAAAAAATTATCGAGGATTGCGCTTCCATATCAGAGAATATCAAATGATAATGCAGTGCTTCAACAATATTGTCTAGGGATTTCATTAAAGCAGAATAAACACTATTGAAAAATTCATTAGTGAAAATATATCTTATATACAAAAATCCATACTTACATCTTCTTTTTCTATATAATTACCTCCTTTTTTATTTTCATAAATAAATCGCATATAGTAATTGCTTGCTTTAAAACCATGAACACCAAGAGACCAACGCCGAAAAAGGTGACAGACTCGCAGGAAGCTGCAGAAATGATTTTGAATTGGTTTGAAAAGGAAAATAAACCAGTTACTGTGCAATTCCTCACAGATGCGCTTGGGAGCCGCACAACGAAAACACTCGTTCAGAAGACACTTGAGGATCTTTCCGAACAAAAAAAACTCCGGACAAAGGACCTCAAGAAGGTTAGACTTTTTTTTTTAGATATGGAAGCATATAACACACGCATTGGTGAAGTTGCAGGGTCAAAAGTTGAAGCGCCTGAGGGCAATGGTGGAACTGAACATGACACTGAATTCAATGAGGAAAAGAATGCACTAATTGAGGATATCTTAAGAGCATCACGCTTAATCCAAGAAAAGGAACAACTTCTGACACAATTGAAGCAAAGTCTCGTTGTGTCAGAGCGGAAAGAGAAGCTTTATTTCGCATCAGCTGAGGTGGATGCCTTGGAAAAGAAACTTTTAGAAGCGAAGGGGAACGCTCAGTTGTGTGTTGCTTCCTCTTCTGAGAGTGATCATGTCGATGATAAAATGCAGCGTATTGTGAAGCATTACCAAAAAGCTCGACTTCTTTGGAAAGAAAGGAAAGAATATGCAGAGCGCATTGTGGATGGTGTTCTCGGTGACGAGTGCTCGCCGCATGAGTTGGCTAGTACATTTGGCATTATATCGGATGCTCAAGCAGGGGTATCTTTATCTCAGTCTGCTGTACATCTTCACCGATCATTTCTGGGTATCTGAATAATATACCATATTATGTGATTTTCACAAAAAGACTGTCTAAATCATTTTTACATACATATAAGTGCTTGCTTTAAACTTCTATTTATTCTTTTACTGCTATGAATATAAGGATTTTATCATTTTCGTTACCCCAGTTAGTTTTGCAATATGACTCATATTGATTAGTACTGTTTTGTTGTTTGTGGTACATTGTAATAAATGTAGAAATATTTTGTCCTGTACTTTATCAATGCATATTTACATTAATCCTCTACTGTGAAAGAATATCATATATATATATGTGTGTATGTTTAATGTACACCAACAGTAATTAAGTTAAACTGGGGTAATAAAACTTCCAGGAGTACTACGTTGAGAACGCTGCTAGAGGTTTGTGAGATTCTGGTACTGAACACTTGCTCTTGAGACCTTGTTCCTTGATGTAGAACGATCTAGTGATTTTTTCATTTTTGATTACAACCAAATATATTTTATTTTGTTTACGTAATCTTAACTTCACCAAGTATGTAGGACATATTGAATTCAGTTATTTTAATGCTATACTATTGATCCGTGTGGAATTGCAGAACAATACATGAGAGTATAAGCAATCCCATCTGCAAAGACATCAACTCAAGAATCACTATCTACATTCAAATTAGTTATGTTTTGATGTCTTCTCTCGGTTGTAATTCAGCACCTTCCTGGAAATTTATGTGTGATGATATAATCGGAAATCCACTATTCCTTTTTTCGACAATTACAATGTTGAAAATAAAATGTGGTTAAAGAAACTATCATATCTAAAGCAAAGAAATTGTAAATTTCTGTGTTGATAGTTTTGTAGCAAATCCTTATATTGGATACTGCTGTATGGAGGAAAGTTACATCTGCTGTCAGATATTTTGAATGAAGACGTGTTGAATCATATTGATCTTTCCATAATTGCTGAAAACAAATATACTTTGCGTCATTCTGCCATGGGAGCACATGCAACTCCATATCTGTTTCTTACATTGGTTACCAAATCAGAGTCCGCTTACACACTCATTTTCATTACCGCTGATCCCTTTCCCTGTTGATAGACATCGTATAAAGGCCAAGCCTTTTCCACTTGTTTGTTTGCGAGCGCAATCTCCCGTACAAAGTGTGAATGAATAAATGGTGAATAAACTGGAAAGCTGACCCGAGGATACTTCTATACACATGGAGCAAAGACTAATTTTTAGCAGCTACAACAACAATCACAGTGGTAGTGAGACAAAGTCACAAGCCGGTGAAACACACGGTTCGCCACGATTCACCAAATGAAGGAAAGGATTCCTGGATGGTTGGGGTTTTGCCCTTTGATTTTAAGTTCCTCTTCACAGAATGATAGTGAAGGTGACTATGGATATTAAGCACCTTGCTACCGTTCCACTTCATCAGTGATTCTCCGTGAAGACGTTAGTGGGCCTCATTAATTACACTGTTAAGGTTTTTTTTTATCTCTTTTGCCAAAGAACAGTGCCCCTAGTTTAGAAATAAGCAAAGAAATACTTCAATGGTAGTTAGAAGTGTGACGTCAGAGGAATTCTTAGAGAACCTATTCACCCTATCCCGTGTGGAATAGAATGAATTCGGTGATCCGAATGTCTTAGCAACAGTGTATATTCTTCTACGCAGCGATTGCATAAACTTTTCTGATAGAAGCGGTGCTGTGTAACATTTTGATTGACAAGTTTAAGTACCATCTTTGACATTATTATACGTGATTGTAATAAATTGGGATTCTAACGCTACTGTTCTGATTCAAAAGAGAAACCAATATTGTCTCCTTTATAAACTCTTCTCCAAAAATAAATCGCTATCATCGCCACCACAAGTTCTAGATGTCACATCGGATGCCGCCGCAGTTTTGTTGCAAAACACGACAGCTGCAGAAGCATTTATTGACTCCTTCCGTAAAGGACATCTTATTGGACGCAACGGCGAGGCAATATCTACGTCTTCAGAATCTGATCAAGACAAATTATCTTCAGAATGTTCCTTTTTATTTTTGGAGGCACGTTTGTTCCTCGTCTTCGAGCTACAATATTGCTGCTAACTATAATAATACTGCATGTTGTTTAGTGGAGTATGCAATCATAAAAATAGTCATTTTATCGAGAAACAGTCTCAGGAAGAAGTAGCAACATCCCGTAATCTTTCATTGTTACTTTTGTTTTCATCTTTTTTTCCCCCCCCGTATCATGTCAATTCAACTATTTGTGTTCTATCTTTTTGAACGGCCTAATAATTTATAGAGAAAAGAGAGCAAGATGTCATGGGATGTAAGTGGGAAAGTAGGCGTTATTACTGGTGCATCATGCTCTCTTGGGAGGGAAATAGTTAGTCGCTTCGCTTTGCGGCATCACATGAAGCTTGCTTGTGTGTCACGAAATCCATTCACAACACCGCTGCTAGATAATTGTACTGCGTTCCGGGCTGATGTCACTCAAAGCAATGATTGCAACAACCTTTTTAAATCCGTACAGGAACAACTTGGGAACGTATCTGTGGTTGTAAACTGCGCCGGTATTACTCTCAACAAACTCTTTCTTCTTAACACCGACAATGATTACGACCTTGTCATCAAAACCAATTTAATAGGTAGCCTCAACGTGACACGAGCTGCGTTACGTTACGGAGGCTTGCTTAAAATGCAAGACTGCAGCGTTCTTTATGTGGGATCTATCGTTGGCATGACTGGAAATGAGGGTCAAGTTTTGTATGGTGCCACCAAAGCAGCACTCCATGGGGCTATTAAATCACTAGGAAAGGAATACGGTTCCAAGAACATTCGGTTTAATGTAGTTGCGCCAGGCTTAATAGAAGGTGAGGGAATGAGTCAAACTCTAACGGAGGCGCAGTGCGAGGCATGGCGCAGGGCTTCCCCTTTAGGGCGATTAGCAACCGCTAGTGAAGTGTCAGAGGTCGTGGTTAACACCATTTTATCGCCTTATATCACAGGGCAGTCAATTATTGTGGATGGTGGGCTATCTCTCTAATAACAATATCGAATATTCTCGAACTATAGAGTAGAATAAAAAATAACTTTGGAATAATCAATTCGATATTTTGCATATGACAAAAACTGAAAACGACTGTCGTCATTTTTCAATTTTGATACTCACTAATCGGATCATTTAGGGTAATTCCTTTCATGAAACTAATGAAAATTAGAGAATGAATGTGAAAATAGTCATATGACCACAAGAATCTAATTTGCTAATGTATTAGACCAATCATACCTTACTAAACTTAGCTTTGTGGACAGGTGCACGCACTTCTATTCGAATAGAGAAATACGAAAAACATATTTTTATTGAAATTAACCTTTTGAATTTTTTTTATTAAGCGGTTTCTGTGGATAGGATGATGTGATACAAAACTAATTAAGTCGTTCTAGTCAAGGATGTTGAGCTCTTATTATTAACACTGTATTATATTCAAAAAAAGGTTAGAAATCACTTTTAAGGGATGTAAACATCTAATTCGTTAATGGGGTGCGTAATAGTGAATATCTAACAATTATTTTCCAGTATTAGATAAAGTACTCATTTTCAACTTAAAGGTTCAGTGTTTAGGGATAACTGAACTTAGTATGATAACTGAATGGTACTTTACGACACTGTGATATAGTTTTATTGAAGAGCACGTTTCAAATGACTAAAGGAACTGCTAGAAATGAATGAACTCATAGAAACTTTTCCTAAGTGTGGTGTCCTTTATCAATGATTTAAGGAGCATCACCGAAGTGATATGTGGTACGTAAAGCGGTATTAGCGCACTTCTAATATGACAATTAGCGAGTCAAATAATGGAAGATATGTGGCAAGTATTTTAAAGCATTAGTGATATATTTATTATTCGAGATAACACCATCTGAGACTCAAAATAATTTTATCTATTCCTGACGACTTAGCCTGTTTTATAGGCTTCTCACCAAAAACACCCATGGTTGTGCACAATTGTAGTGTGGTGACATACGTGGTATGTGTAAACTCAAAACTATTAAACACCATCATATATACTATCAGTTTTAAATATAACATGTTACGTATAGTTTAACGATGATCTGACTTGGTAATATTTACTATGCTCAACTAGCGTTAATTTTTCCTATTTCTCTTACTTGCAAGGGAATACCAATTTACCATGATAAAGTATCGGAATCAAAAAGGTTCTGATGAAGTTTGCTGACAAATACGTAATAGATAATAAAACATTGGAAAATGGAACCGCCGGGAAAATTTATCGATGTATAAATAAAGATTCTAATGAAACTCATGTAGTCAAGGTGTACGACAAGGCCCGGCTGAACGAACGGCGCATAGACTTGAGCCTAGAGGAAGCACGCATTGGTCTAAGTCTTCCTGTGCACCCTAATTTGATGCATGTGTTTGACGTATTTGATGAAGAAAATGCAGTTATGATTGTGATGGAGCATATGCCCGGCGGGACGCTATACAAACATCAAAGTGAGGTCGGTACCATCCGAGAGGTGCGCACAGCTCGGATGTTGCGGCATATACTGTTGGGTTTAACTGTTCTACATTCAGTGGGTGTGATGCATCGTGATATTAAGCTTGAGAACATTTTCTTACGATCAAAGGGAAAATCTCAGAACGGATTAGATGAGGTACCTGCTATTGGGGACTATGGGTTTGCCACACGATCAATACCAAGTAGTCAATGTGTGGGCTCACCTCAGTACTGTGCTCCTGAGATTGCTTTCATTGGCCTGCAGGAGCACTGCGCGACAAGCAATAAACCGCTGTACAACGAGAAATGTGATGTGTGGTCTGTGGGAGTGGTAGCATTTGTGATGCTTACAGGCTTGCTACCATTTGATGGTCCTACACCGACGCAAGTGTTTACTGAAGTAATTAAGAATATACTCCCTTTCCAACATCCTTCTTGTAGAAATATGAGCCTGCAAGCCAAACAGTTTATTGTGAAGCTTACAAATACAAATCCATCTAAACGTCCATCTGCTAAGGAAGCACTTCGTGATCCATGGCTTGCTGTATGATCCTAAATGAAGTGCGATTTTACCTCACCAATAAGGATTTGATTCTTGATAATATTCGCTAACATCGATTTATGCAAAGCGCTGGAATATAATAACTCTCACTGACGAATGTAAAATGGTTGTGTGAACACTTTTGATGATGATTATTATGGAGCTTCGCGTCGAAATCCATGTGCACATACTTGAATAATTTCATATGGAAAAATCATTTCTGAAGTGGTAAAATATACATGTGTATTCTATATGTTTAATCCTTTAACAAAATTAGTATGAACCTTGCTTGCACATTAGCACTAAATGCACTTCAGAGAAGTATATAATTGAAGCTTACGAATTCCAATCGGTTATCTAAGGAAGAGTATGAAATAACTTTGGCAGGTGATACCCTTCCAAAGTATCTTATGAGCAAGAGCACCCGAAATCCCTCTGAGAAACCTTCTGGAACAACAAATTCTAGCTATTTACTGTGAGGTAATACTATTAGCAAGTTTTGAGAGAAATACTGTGATAGGCTTTAAGAAAAATACTAATTAATTTCTCAAAATGAACCTAAGAATCTGTTTGATGTTAACGCGTTATTACTGTATTATATATAAACAAAATCCAGTCGATGTTAAGTCATTACTGTATTTTATGATTCGCTTGCAGTTTTGAGAAGGCATGGCTGAATTCACGTAATGCCCGATAAAGACCAAGTGAGGATCACCCATCTAATCTAATAAATGCTCTACAAAGTTTTATCTTATTCTTCGCATCGCCTTTAATAATAATAATAATAAAAGTAATTGCTTCATACCGCATAAAGAGCATTATAACCGATCGCTCTTTTTTATCATTGACTCGTATAAATAATGCTGTGTGCGATATCAAATCATGTCCCACAGAATCCCGTTATTACCAAACAAAGCGGATGTCTATTTGAGCGCAGCTTGATTGAGAAGTATATTGATGAGTACGGCCGATGCCCTGTAACAGGCGAGCCTCTTACTCGTGACGATCTTTTGCCCGTGCGCGGAGGAACGGCAGGGAGTGGGCGGAGCATGCCACAAATTCTCGGTGTGTGCTCTGTTTTAGAGTTACTAGAGCGGCTGCGTATTGAATGGGATGCAGTCATGCTTGAGCAGTACTCTTTTCGTTCTAAGCTAGCTCAAGTGGAACAGGAGCTGGCTCATTCACTGCAGCAGTATGAAGCTGCCTGCCGCGTTATCGCCAGTCTCACGATCCAATGCGATGAACTGCGGCAGGAAAAGCAGCGTCATTCAAATGGAACAGATGATAACATGCAGAATGAAGAAGAAGCTGTGGTCGTGCCTGTTCCATTACTGTCATTAATCGATAGTCAAGAGGCAGAGCAGCGCAAAAAACGTAAACAACAAAAGCAGACCCTGATGGATTTATCCACTCGGATACCGGATTCTTTTGTTGAAGCTTCTCAGGTCAAGGTAGCTTCGGACAACATAGGAGGTGCTCTTTGTTTGTCCATCGCGAATGATCAGTTGTATACTGCAGGGGCTACAAGTTTAGAAATTTTACAATACAACATGACAGAGAAGCGTATATCAGCGACCGGCGTAGGTCATCAAAAGTATGTGCACGCTATCACGACGGTTCATGAGGGAGCTCGTATTATCTCAGCCTCCAAAGACCACACGGTGAAGACTTGGAAGTCAGAGCGGGCTCAACTAACCTGCGAGGGAACTCTGCGCTATGCAAATGGGGCATCGGCCCTTAGTCGTCGGCTTATTGGTGAGACATACGCACTAGTAGGTACCTCAGATGGATCTTTATATATTTCAAATGTTGAGGCAGGCGAACAAGCAGTTGTGGCAACAGGGGCAGTAAGCAGTAGCATAACATGCGCTGAGCTTCATCCCTATGCTTCCTTGGCTGCGATTGGAACTGAAAGTGGTGAACTCATATTGTGGGATGTAAAGCTAGCTGCTGCAGACACCGTTTTTTCCTTCCGCACCGATGCCTCGTCTCATGCCGATCGAAGAAGGCGTTACCTTAACAGCATAGACCTACACCCAGACTGCGTGACGCTTTCAGCGGGTCTTAGTGATGGCTCTGTGTTGCTATGGGACTTACGTAAAATCGAGGAGCCCGTGGCTGAAATTACGGTGCCTAATGATACTTCAGGCAACTCAACACCCTCACCAGTATCAGTAGCGTTCGAGGAAAGCAGTGGCGCGTACTTGGCGGTTGGAATGCAAGACCTGAAGCTGTACTGCACGGCAAAACTTCTAGAGGGTACTCCACCCATGGAATGTGTTCTGGATACATTGAGCACTGATCATAACGAAGTAAGTCAAGTATGCTGGCCGAGAAGTTCTATTGTGGCAGTAAGTTGCATGGATGGTGTGGTGCGGGTCTTCAACACATAATTGAATTTACCATGGTGGTGCCGTACAGGGAATGAAGCTTCTATGGTTTCTCCTTTTATATATTATTCATGGGATTAAGCTAATATAGGTATTAAGGATAAGATATGACCAAAAAGCAAAATGGATCTTCATATGGTGACAGATTTAGATATTTATTTCCGTTGATACTATATATGGGTGACATTCATCATGTCAAGGATTACCTTAAGTGTTACTTTACAAAAATTATGGATTATAAATACTCCTTTAATAGCTCTTTTTCTCTTGTGTAGATTCTGATCTGAAGGTGTTTGTAAATGTGGATGTGGAATATTTCATAGATCCACACATGAGCTCTGATAAAAGTAACGATCAAGATGTTCATGTGGGATCTTTTTTCATTGGCAATTGCAAATTTTCTGTTTACGAAGAGATGTCCAAGCAATTACAGAAGATAGGCTGGAAACGTATGAAAAAGTCACAACTCGCAACTTGCGACTTCATTTTGGGTGATCGCTTTACCATTCCATACCACCTTCTCCGTTGCGAATTGCTTCCGCCCCATTCAATTTTCAACGGAACTCGCTGGATCAACTACTTTCAAGGTTCTCACAAAATTACTCTGAAAGCTTCTATGACAGAGATCCTTCGACAGGCTGATTCTACACACACGGAGTGGCTGCCAATATCATTTGTGTTGGGTGGAGACCCTGAGAAAGTATGTGATGAACGTGCACTATTCGTGGATAACGCAATTAATAACCCATCTACTCTATGGATTATTAAGCCAAGTAGTGGTGGCAAAGGTCAGGATATCCTTCTAGTCTCCGGCACCGAGGTAATTAAATTCGTTGAAACATTGGAGTCTACTAGCAAGCGTCGGTATGTTGCACAGAAGTATGTGGATAGTCCTTTACTGGTTTCACATTATCGCAAATTCGATATAAGGGTCTGGGTTCTTCTGATTAGTCCCAATTATACAATATATGCTTTTTCTAAAGGTTGCTGCCGAACAGCGAGTAGTGCTTATGATCTGTCGGACGTTACTAACTTGAAGTCGCATCTTACGAATCATTGTCTTCAGGATGAACATTTGAATGACGGTGAATATGAAGAGAGCAATGAGATATGTTTTGACAAGATCGAATCATATGCTAAGGAAAAAATGGGTGTCGAATCATTACTAGGGTGCATACTACCCCAAATGACCAATATAATTGTTCGTTCTCTTTTGACTGTGAAGGCGCAACTTGAAGTGCCCCCTAATGACCCTTCTCGCTGTTTTCAACTCCTCGGATACGATTTTATAGTTGATACTAACTTTAGAGTTTGGCTACTAGAAATTAATGGATCACCTGGAGTAGCGGTGCGATATCTTGAGGAATTGGTGCAAAAAATGCAAGAGGTGCTGATCAGCTCTAAGCTGGCAGCAAGTCCTGACCCTTCTATCTGGGATGTCAACAAGACTGAATTTGTTGAGCTTTGGTGTGAAGGTCACCCACTTCCACAGGGATTGTTACTTTGACTAAAAAAATTCGAAACATTTCATGTATTTAGCGTTGCATAGCTTGATATTTTTTTGTCTGAAAGCTTAATTGTCCCTCATATACTCTCCTTTTTTTTTGCACATCTCTCATATATAGTTTACATTTTTACTGAATTCTATTTTCACATTGTTAGATAAACATTAGATGACGAAAAACTCTGAATGCACATCCGAAGTAGATGTAACCTCAAAAAAGGGAAAACAAAATCCTACGAATGAAGAAAACATGCAACAGTCTTTAGTAGATGAGAATGAAAAACCCAAGGAGGTCATGTCGCGTGCACAGCGCCGCAAGCTCAAGAAATATCCTGTAGTAGTCACGTCCCAAATGAAGGAAAAAGCACGTGAGGCAAAGCGTGAGCTACGCAAATACTTGCGTATGATTAAGTCCAACGGAGGGCGGCGTAAGGTGGCGAAGCTAGCTGAAAAGCGTAGACGTGATGTTGATGACAATGAAGAAGCGATTAATGCGTTTGACTTCGATCATAGGCCGCTTAAGAAAGGAAGGCGCTTGGAGTAGGTAATAAAAGGATGATATTAGGTTTTATTTTCATCGAGATACAAGATGAAGAGTAAGTATATTGGGTGATACTACTATCTACATGTCATTATTATTAACTTTGATTAATATAATCAAAGTAATAGTAACTTAAAAATGAATGATTCTAAAACAAGTCACTGTTAAAGATCTTTTATAAAGGGACCCTTCAATCTATTTATTCTATTCACGATGCTTCTCATCACACTTTTATTCATATTATAGCTTTTCTTTATATACCAATACACTTTAACCACAACAGGTCTGTGGTATTCTTTTCTTTATGTTTTTTGGTGTGCATAGCACTTGGTATTATTCAAAAATTGACCATCGATTTTTCGTAAAGCAGCCCATTGTAGTACTACGAGTGGGAAAAAACGAATACCATAATATATTTGTCTAGATGAGTTTCAAACAGCACACATCTAAGCATTTGTTATCTAAAGAGCTTTCTAGAAATAAATCAGACAAAAATCAACAGGAAACCACAAACGACTATGCAAATCACATGCATCAAGGATCCGATAAAGCACATTTGGGCAAAGACTTAAAACTGATGCAATACGATCAAATGTCTACTGATCTTGACAAAGCCGCAGATAGAAATTCCTATGCCTTTCTCATTCCACAGAAACCAAACGGTACCGCAAGAAAGTCAGATCTCGAACTTTCCCACAGAGTAGTATCTTGCAAAATAGTAATAAAAGTTCCCAACTCACTGCAGAAGCTTCTTTTGAGAAAAGAAAGCAAAACGGAAAAGAATGACACTGAGGCCAAACCGGTATTACAACACAAGATCATGGAGAGAGTTCGTACTCACTCTGTTATAAGTTCTACTCCTTCTTCTTTGGGTCCGAGTTTCATTGAGCGTGTAGGGATCGCGTTTCACCCATTGTCCAACGTCCGAACCGCTTACCAGGACCACGAATTGTGTAAACGATTTGCATCTTCCGAAAGCCGAACCGTGGCAACGCCGCCGCGTGACGATACCTTTTTTCTATCCGATGGGGACTTGGTCAAGCGAATAGAAAACTACTTTTTGCTAGATCAATTCGATAACGACTTTAATGATAGCAAAACGCCACAGGAGTGGGTGGCGATGGGCGGGACAAGGGGTACCCCAGCCCTCTCACGTTACTACAACACCGTGTCCAAATCCACCACCTGGGAGCCGTGTCGCGTCATGCGCTATGACAAAGACACCCAATGCTTTCTAGTGCGATGGCAAGAGGGAAAGACAAAGTGGACTCGCCGGTTAAACATCATCTTTGATGATGAAAACGTCGACGCCTGGCAGCAGCGAGTTGAGTGCGCTCGCATCTGTAGACAGAAGGTGAAGAACGCACTGTACCAACGGCTTTACCTTGAGGTCATCTCGAACGACGCTATTACACCTTTTGATCAGGACCAAATGGACCGCATCATTACCAAAATAGCTCCAACGTTCCCCCTTCAGTTCGTTCACATCATCGATCATTCTTCAAGCGAGGTGGAGATGACATATTGCACTACACTGAAGAAGACAACATATCTTTACAACCTACGCACCATGTCCTGGCAGGAGCGACTGGAAATAGCGAAACTTCCACCGCTAAAGGTTATTATCGAACCGTCGTTCCGTAATCTTAAGGGTACTATCGATGTCCCGCCCTCTGGTTTCAAGACAGCACGCGCTAAACTTTCGGAAAACTTATTCCAGATCCATCCCCTCTTGCGTGAAACATTGTACTCCATCCACAACCTTTGGAAGGATTATGAAAAACGTACTCTGTGCTTGGTTTCACTGGATAGATTTGATAAGACTCCTATTCAACTTCAGAAGTTTATGCAGCACCAGGCACAAGAGGGAGCTACAATTTCGGAGAAACTTCGTGGGGAGTGGATCTCGGCAGTGCTATCCACTATCCAAAGTAACCTTGATCCGCACTTTAACTTTTACACTGACAACTTCGAAGAGTACAAGTCCAGTCGTATCTGCCGGTTCATTCGTCTGGTGAACAACATGATGGCAACCCAACTGCGTGGCCTTCTTATGCAGTCACTAGAAAATTTTACAACATTTATTGAGTCCTATCGTATTGAATACACTGAGGACGACTCAACTATGAGATGTTTACTTGAAAGCAGCGCAGAAAGCGAAAAGTGGAAAGTACGCTATGCCGAACTCTCCGCTAAGCGGAAAGAAGTAGAAGGGCAGGCGCAAGTCCCAGAGGTGAGCAAAAATACTAAAAAGAAGTTCGTTGCCACTGCTTCAGGTGGCACAGCAGGAGTTCACGGGAAAAAAAACGATGAAGCGCGAAATGTGCCCTTCTCATGGTGCGCCATCTTAGAGAACAACTATATTCCATGCACGAAACGTGTAATGAAGCTAACTACAATGGTGAATGATCTTCGGCCTCTTTTTGCTGTAAAATTAGTGGAACATGATGGCACTATCGTCTTTCAACCTCTTCTTGAGGAAGTTATAAATGGTGTTATGCAAGTGTTTGAGAACTGCTTTGAATACTGTGGTTCTATTGATACAATAGGTGATCAGTTGCTTCCTCTGCTTTCGTTGCAACCGGCGTATTTGAAACCCTTGGTAAATGGGAAGAACAAGGAGCAGAGTGTTTGTTCTTGTAGACAACTACTTCACCAAGTACTGGAGGAGAACTTGGAAGCACCACTTCATCTTCAACAAATGTACAGCGAATTCGATTATATATTAAAGGCTAATCTGAAGGACATAATGGATGATGCAGTTGTGTCTGTCCTTTCCTTGGATGAATTCGAACTTGTTTTTGAGCGCCTCGATCGTGACTTGGGACGTATCAAGAAGCATACTTCCAATAATGTAAAGTATGAGCTTTTTGCAGTCAGCTGCCAGGAAATCAAAACAGTACTGACACGCAAAGCCAAGAGTCTTTTGGCTAATCTTATGGACTTCCTCTCCAAGCGTCTTTTGGAGTGTTGTACTGACGTTATTCGACAATACGAGGAGATGTTTGAAAAAATATCGGTCTACCCCACCACGCCTGAGGAACTACAGGATCTACGAGTCTATATAGATGGTGTTGCTAAGCGCAGCGAAGATATCGGAAAAGATTTTGATTGGATCACCAAAGGAAACGAGTTGCTACTGCGTTTCTGTTACCTTGTCCCCGAGGATAACTTTAATATGTACTGGGTAGCAGCTGAGTGGCCGAAAAAGCTCCAAGATCTCGTGGAAGAGCGCACCTTCCAATGCAAAGAATATCGTGCCATCTTTATACAGAATCTGCGTGACAACTGTGAGCGCCTTGCGTGTGACATTATGCAGCTAGGTGATTCGGTAGACCGATTCGCACACCTCGGGGATTATGCCCATGCAGATGAGTTTTATGAACGCTCAAAGGAGATCGAAGTACTGATCAACACATACCAAGATCAGATGACACTGTACAACAGTCACGAGGAACTCTTTGGCTTGGCTACGTCACAGTACCCACAACTCAAGGATGTCAAGACTCAATTTGAGCCTTGCTCTCTTCTATGGAAAATAGCTAGTCACTTTAACGCCGAGAGTGAGGGCTGGCTCCAAACGCGTCTCTCCGCCCTAAACCCAGTTGACGTGGATCAGAAAGTTTCTGACTGGGACAAAACAATCTCTATTATAACAAAAAAAATTAAGGAAATGGAACCGAAGGAAGCCCTCAAGCAAATAAAGGCGAATATTGAGCGCTTCAAACCAAATATACCGCTGCTTTACGCGTTGCACAGTAATTTACAAGCTACGCATTGGAAGGCAATTTATCAACAGTGTGGTATTGCAAAGGAAAAGCAGGGCTTTGGGACCGGTGGTACTGATATGAATGATCAGCGTCCTTTGGGAGATTTCCTCAAGCTTGGACTGCTTGAGTATCTGCCACAAATTGAAAACATTGCGTCTGTGGCCCGAAAGACTCATGAAATCGAAACTGATCTTATGTCAATGGAGAATGAGTGGAAGAAGATACTTTTTGAAATGGAACCATACCAAAACACATATAAGCTGAAGGCGAACGATACTATGCAGCTTACACTAGATGAGCATATTCTCAAAACGCAGTCTATGCTGAGCAAGCCCATCGTACGTCAGGCTCCTGCCCTACAGGCCCGCGTATCACAGTGGGCAAAGCAGTTCGAAAATATTCAATGCACAATGGATGAGTGGTTCAGATGCCAAAACACATGGTCTTATTTGGAGCCTATCTTCTCATCCTCTGACATCTCTCGCAGTTTACCCAACGAAAAACAGCTTTTTATGGAAATTTATGACATATGGAAGGAAATTATGGAACATACTCGCACCCTACCCCAAGTCTTCACCCGTTGCCAAGATGAAAGCCTTTTAAAAACGTTCTCGGAGGCCAATAATACACTGGAAGAGGTAATGCGTAAGCTTCAAGAATTCTTGGAAACCAAGCGAATGGCCTTTCCGCGGTTTTACTTCATTTCAAACGAAGAATTGCTTCAAATTTTGTCAGATAGCAGAGATCCTTTTCTCGTACAACCGTATTTGTGTAAGTTCTTCGAAGGCGTAAAGCGAATCAAATTTTCAGATAACCAAGATATTGTTGGGATGGAATCATCGGAAGGAGAAAAAGTGCCGCTGGTTCAGCATGTCAACCCCGCTGATTACGGTAATCAGGTTGAATTGTGGCTGCAGATGGTAGAACAATCGATGAAAGCCACTATTCGCGATCAGCTCCGTCAGGCTATAGGTGATTACACTATGCAAAAGCACGTGGACTTCGTTCGTGCGTGGCCGGGGCAGGTCGTGATTGCGATTTGCTCACTCTATTGGACGATGGAAGCGACCCGTGCGTTACAAGAAGAAGGCACCATCGGTTTGTCGTCCTTCTACGATAAATGCACAAGCCAACTCGATGATTTGATTATATTAGTCCGGGATAAGAATATTAAACCCGTAGAGCGATGCACCCTGGAAGCGCTTGTGGTGATTGAGGTGCACTCCAAAGACATCATCGGTATGCTTTGCGAAAAGGGCGTAGATAATCTGAACAGTTTCGACTGGATCGCACAACTCCACTACTACTGGACGGACGACCACCTCACCGTCCAGCAAATCAATGCCTCCTTTCGCTATGGGTATGAGTACCTCGGCAACACGGGGCGGCTTGTGATCACCCCACTCACCGATCGCTGCTACCGGACACTCCTTGGCGCGCTTCACCTCAATCACGGTGGGGCCCCTGAAGGTCCTGCGGGGACGGGAAAGACCGAGACTACCAAGGATCTGGCCAAGGCTCTTGGGAAATACTGCGTTGTCTACAACTGCTCGGATCAGATATCCGCCAAGGATATGGTCAAGCTCTTTAAGGGACTAATCCAAGCGGGTGCTTGGGGTTGTTTCGATGAGTTCAATCGGATTGAGATTCAGGTGCTTTCGGTTATTGCGCAGCAAATTGCCACAATCCAGGATGCGATCGTTCAAAAACAGACAGAGTTCATTTTTGATGGGACACAGATACGCCTCGATCCCGGTTGTGCTATCTTTGTGACCATGAACCCTGGCTATGCAGGACGTGCTGAGCTTCCAGATAACTTGAAGGCTCTCTTCCGTCCAGTCGCGATGATGGTACCTAACTACGCTATGATCGGTGAGATACAGCTCTACTCGTATGGTTTTCTGAATGGTAAAGTACTTGCCGAAAAGATTGTGGCTACCTACCGTCTTTGTTCAGAGCAGCTTTCTTCACAGGACCATTATGACTACGGCATGCGTGCGGTGAAAGCTGTTCTCACGGCGGCGGGGCGACTCAAGCGCACTTATCCCGACGAAAATGAAATGATTCTCACGTTACGCTCTATTCAAGATGTTAACCTTCCTAAGTTTCTTTCTCAAGATGTGGAACTATTTAAGGCCATCGTATCCGACTTGTTTCCCGATGTGGTACTGCCAGATCCTGATTACATGGACATGCATAAGGCCCTACAGGTTACATGTCGACGGAAGAATATACAACTTACAAAATATTTTGAAGAAAAAATTCGCCAAACCTACGAGATGATCTGTGTGCGTCATGGTATGATGATTGTGGGTTACTCTTATGGTGGTAAGACTAAGGTCCTTCAATGTCTTTCAGAGGGTCTCACAGAGATGGAAGCATCAGGCAAAGAATTACGCACACGCATGGTTACGATAAACCCAAAGTCGATTACTATGGCTCAGCTATACGGCAAGGTCGAGCAGTCGGGCGAATGGACTGACGGCGTACTTTCCAATCGCTTTCGACAGCTTGCACAGGATGTATCGTCGTTCCGTAAATGGCTTGTGCTCGATGGCCCCGTTGATGCCCTCTGGATTGAAAATATGAACACAGTATTAGATGATAACAAAAAACTTTGCTTACAGAACGGCGATATTGTTCCCATGTCCAAAGCGATGAATCTCATATTTGAAGTTCAGGACCTAGCTCACGCGTCACCAGCCACAGTTTCACGCTGTGGAATGGTATATGTGGAGCCTCAGTCACTAGGATGGCGTTGTTTGATAGATTCCTTCATGAATACAGTGCCTGAGTATATAGCGTCGAGTGAAGCGTTAGCGAACTGCATTCGGCATCTCACGGATGCATTTATGCAAGATACTCTCGATTTCGTGAACAGACACACCACAACAATCATCCCTCAAGGTGATAGCACGGCAGTCTCCAGCTTCATCAAATTATTTGATTCCTTTTTGCGAACGTTCGATATCACTCAAGCAACTGAAAAATCCAAAGAGCCGCGACTTGTGCTCATGCGTATCGAAGGGTGGTTCCTCTTCTCATTGGTATGGTCTGTTGGTGGGTGCCTTTTGAATGAGGATCGTCAAAGGTTCAGTGACATGCTCCACCGGTTGATAGAGGAAAAGTTGTCCCAGTACAAGTTCACAATTACTTTATTTGAAAAGAATACTTTGTTCTACGACATGAAGTTTGAAGATGGAGACGAAGTGAAATTTGTCGATTGGATGACGGTTGTTCCTGAGTTGGTCATCTCGAAGGAAACCGAGTACCAAGACATCATCGTGCCGACCAGCGAGACATCAAAGTACACGTTTTTGATGCAGCGTATGATTTCAAGTATCCATCCCGCTCTTCTCGTTGGTGACACAGGCACTGGAAAGACCATCATGATGAAGTCGTTGTTAAAGAGTATTCCAGGGGAAATGTACTCCCTCAACATGATTCAGCTGTCTGCGCAGACCTCATCAAGTTATTTGCAGCGGCTTATCGATGACAGCTGTGAAAAACGTCGAAAGGGCTACTATGGTCCACCCATCAACAAAAAGATGCTCGTTTTCATTGACGATGTGAACCTCCCGAAGCTTGAGGAGTACGGTGCGCAGCCGCCTATTGAGTTGGTTCGGCAATACCTCGACCATGGTGCGTGGTACAGCCACAGCAAAGAAAGTATCGAATTGCGGCATCTGGTGGACCTGCTCCTTCTCTGTGCCATGGGCCCAGCTGGGGGTGGCCGAAACCCCATCACGCCGCGCTTCACTCGCCATTTCAACACCTTCAGTATCCCGGCATTTTGTAATCTAACTTTGAAGAAGATATTTAATTTCTTGGCCGAATGGATTCTCTCTCGTGGGTTTTCCTCATCTCTTCGCAGTCAGTCAAATGCTTTGGTAAGCGCAACGGTGGATGTTTATGAAACTTTACGTGATAAGCTAAAACCTTCACCAGAAAAGTCGCATTACACATTTAACTTGCGTGATATGAGAAAGGTTTTCCAAGGTATTGACATGGCCTATGCCCCGCTTATCACAAGTGAAGTAAAATTAGCAGAGTTATGGGTCCACGAGGTATCACGCGCTTTCGCCGATCGCTTCACAGAAAATGGGGACAATCTCTGGTTTGATGAGCAAATGGCTAAGATATGCCAGAAATACTTCAAGCTCACCGTACCATCCTCTTCGGAAGACCCCTTGATTTTTTCCACCATTATGAACGAAGAGGGGAGATACGAAAAAATATCGAGCTCGGAGGAGGCACGTCGGACACTGGAGCTAAAGGTAAATGAGTTCAACACGCAATCTCGGACCGGCGATCTAAACTTGGTTGTGTTTAACTACGTCCTTGAACATGTGACACGTATTTGTCGAGTCCTGAAGCAACCTGGTGGAAACCTTCTGCTGATTGGGGTGGGTGGCAGTGGGCGACGCAGCTGCACCCGGTTGGCGGCTTACCTTCAGGAGTGTGATTATGCCACAATTAGCGCCGCCAAAGAATATGGCTACTCTGACTTTTTAGATGATATTCGGCAACTGCTTTTAAAGGCTGGTCAGAAAGGATATTCCACTGTGTTTGTTCTATCGGATTCTCAGATCACCTCTGATACCTTTTTGGAAGATATCTGCAGTTTATTCAATACTGGTGAAGTCCCTGGGCTATGGAGCAACAAGCAGGATAAGGATATATATGAGAACGCAGTAGCTTCCTTGCGCGACTTAGGGAAGAATTTGGGTCGCCCGGACACTACTGAGGCCCTCCAGAATCTTTTTGCCGAGCGTTGCCAAAAGCACTTACACATCGTACTGTGCTTTTCCCCTCTTGGAAACGTTCTACGGGATCGGTTACGCAAGTTCCCTTCGCTGGTCAACTGCACCTCCATTGACTGGTTCCGTGATTGGCCGGAAGAAGGGCTGAGTTCCGTGGCCGAACGGTTTTTGGATAGCATTGATTTGACTGAGACGGAACGCGCCACAATCAGAGATATGCTTGTGTTGTATCAACTGCAAGTACGTGATATGAGTACAACCTATCTGACCGAGGCGCGTCAGCACACGTATGTCACGCCGACTTCATATTTGGACCTACTATCCACCTTTGGCCGACTTCTGAAATTTAAGCGGGATGAGCTCACTGAGAGAAAGCAAAGATACACCAACGGTTTAGATCAGTTAAAAAAAACAGAAGATCAGGTGGAAGTTATGCAAAATGAACTAGCCCTCCTAAAACCCGAATTGGCTGAAAAGCAAAAGCAAACAAACGAACTCATTCAGAAAGTGGAACAAGAAGGCAAAATTTCTGAACAACAGCGTGCGATCGTTGCGATAGATGAAAAAGCAGCCAACGAACAGGCAGTAGCCGCAAAAAAAATGAAGGATACTTCACAAGCGAAAGTAGATGAGGCACATCCACTTGTTGAACAAGCTTTACGGGCAGTGCTAGATTTAGACCAAAAGGCACTGCAGGAGGTCAAGGCTCTAAAGACTCCCCCCCAGGGTGTTAAATTTGTGATTGAGGTACTCTGCACACTTCTCGGCGGTCAATATAAGCCTAAATCTGTGCGTGATCCCCTTAAGGGAGTAACAAATGTGCCATATTGGGAACACGCCAAAACTACACTGCTTACCGGTGAGTTTAACAATATCCTGCTCAATTCTTACCCAGTCATTGTCGACAATGCACCCAATAGCCAAATTGAGGAAGTAAAAAAGAAAATGGCTAATGATATGTTCAAGATGGAAAATATACGAAAGACGTCTGTAGCGCTGGTGGGCGTCGCCACATACATCAAGGCCGTTGTTGAGTACTATCAGCAGAACAAGATTATAAAGCCGCTTCTTGCACAAGCCGCTGCAGCTGAGGAAGAGTATAACACAGCTATGAATGGTTTAAACAAAAAAAAGGAAGAGCTACGCATAATTAATGAGAAGCTACAGGCCCTCACAGCTCAGCTAGAGCAAGTTAACACAGATAAGCAAAATTTGGAGGCTAAAATCAACGACACTGACACCAAACTTACTCGTGCCAAGAAACTCATTGAGGGTCTCGGCGGTGAGAAGGCTCGCTTTCTTGTTGAGGCACAACGTGCTGAAGAGGCCCTTACTTTTTTAGTGGGAAATGTTCTCGTGACAGCAGGAGTATTAGCCTACATGGGGCCCTTTCTCGACAAGTATAGGCGTCAGGCAATTATTTCCTGGGTGAAGCTATGTAAGGATAAGGGAATTCCAGTCTCCAATGATTTTTCATTAGAAAATTTCTGCGGAAACCCCATTGAAATTCAGGAATGGAAACTACAGCAGCTTCCAGTAGACAGCTTTTCAGTAAGTAATGCGGTTATCATGAAAAACTCTAGTCGATTTCCCCTTCTGGTGGATCCGCAGCAACAGGCAAATAACTGGATTCGTAACCTTGAACGAGAACATCAACTTGTAGTCATCCAGCCGTCTGAAAGCAACTACATTCAAACCATTCGCAATGCAATTTCCGAAGGTCGACCGGTGCTTCTGGAAAATGTTGAAGAAACAATAGACCCTGTGCTGGATAACCTCCTGCTTAAAAGGCTAACAAAGGAAGGCACAATGGTAGTTCTGCATTTGGGTGAGCCAGTTGAGTGGAATAGCTCCTTCCGCTTTTACATGACAACAAAGCTACCGCGGCCCCATTATCTTCCAGAGGTTAGTACCAAGGTAACTCTAATTAATTTTATGATCACTGAGAAAGGTCTTGAGGACCAGCTCCTGCAACGTGTTATGATGTCCGAAAGACGGGACGTAGAGGAGAAGAAGAACGCTCTCACCCTCGAGGCAGCTGCCAATAAGGCCGGACTTAAAAGCACTGAAGATCGTATCTTGTCCATTTTATCCTCAGATGGAAATATACTGGAAAGCGAGGAGGCTATCGAGGAGTTGGACTACTCCAAGGAACAGAGCGATCGCATTGCCAAGCGACAAGAAGAAATCGAGGCAATGGAGAGGATCAGCGACCGTACGCGCAATCTTTTTGTTCCCGTGGCGCACCTTGGCGCAATTCTCTTCTTTTGCGTAAGTGAATTAGCTAACATCGATCCCATGTATCAGAACTCCGTGCAATTCTACATTTCGATTTTTCAGGAGGCTCTGGTGAACAGCGAACGCTCACCTGAAGTTTCAGAACGCACCGAGCATATCAATACCACGTTCAAGAAAGCCCTGTATGAACGCATCTGCCGATCTCTCTTTGCAAAGGACCAGCTTTTATTCTCCTTTATAATGTCATTGAAGATATTTGAAGTTGATCCAATTCTCCTGCGGTGGCTGTTGATGGGTGGGTTTGAGCAGGACCTGACACATCAGAACCCGTTCCCATGGTTGCCTCAACAGAACTGGGCAATGCTATGCCGGGCTGATACTCAGTTAACGCTCACTGAGGAGAGTCTCGTGGAGATTGTGAAGGGAAACGAATCATTTTTCAATAACTATTATGATTCTTCAAGGCCTCTTGATATCAGCTTCCCACCACCGCTCGACAAGCTCAGCTCTATTGAGCAAATGGTCTTGGTGCGATGCTTCCGTACTGACAAAATTGTTCCCGCGGTTGCGAATTACGTTCGCGATACGCTGGGTGATGTCTTTCTTCAGCCCCCTCTCTATGCGCTTGAAACAATCGTTGACGAGTTGGTTCACGATCCATCGGTTCCGATTATTCTGGTCCTGTCCCCCGGTGCTGACCCCAATGCCGAACTGGATCGCGTGGCAGATTTGAAGGGCATGGGTGGAAAGTGCCTCCACAAACTATCGCTTGGTCAGGGTCAGGAAGCACCCGCACGTGCCCTTATCGAGTCCAGCATCCAGCAAGGTCACTGGGTGCTACTTCAGAATTGTCACCTTCACCAGGATTTTATGCCCCAACTCTCAAACATAATCGAGAACTACAGTGACTTGAGTGCCAAGCAGAATCTCAATCCGAGCTACCGCCTTTGGCTCACATCGCTGCCTAGCGAAACGTTCCCCATAGCAATTCTGCAAAACGGTGTAAAACTAGTGCAGGAGCCACCGGCGGGCTTAAAGAGCAATCTCATGCAATCCTATCTAACGGACCCAATTGCCGATGATAAATTTTTTACCTCCTCGAATAAACCGGAGGAGTGGCAGAAGCTGCTTTTTGGTTTATGCTTTTTCCACGCGGTCATTCAGGGGCGACGCCAGTACGGCCCTCTGGGTTGGAATCGTCCCTATGAGTTCAACGACACCGATCGACGCATTAGTATTCGCCAACTCAATATGTTTATCAACGAAAACGAATCTGTCCCTTATGACGCACTTCTTTATCTTATCGGGGAATGCAACTATGGCGGCCGCGTGACGGACGATTTGGATCGGCGTTGTTTAATGGCTACGCTGCAACTATACATCACTCCGCTTATTCTCGATAACGATTACAACTTTTGTAGTGATGTGAATGATTACTACTCCCCGCCCTTCGGTGAATACGGCAGTTTTGTTAGCTATATCGAATCGCTTCCTATGCATCAGCATCCATCGATTTTTGGGTTGCATGAAAATGCTGATATCACTAAAGATGAGCGTGAAGCCCGATTTCTTCTCGATGCAACCTTAGCTACGCAGCCCGTGGATGTCGGCAGCACCTCCTCGGGTTCGTCAGCGGCATTTTTGGACCCCAAGGTTGCAGTTAAGCAAATTGCCAATGATATCTTCCATCGCCTCCCTAAGTTGTTTGACCTCAATGAAATTCAAGAAAAATACCCATTCAACTACGCCCAGTCCATGAACACAGTTTTGCTTCAGGAAGTAATACGCTACAATCGTCTTCTAGATATTGTCCAGGACTCCTTGGTGGAAGTTCAAGACGCTATCAGCGGTCATGTTGTGATGAGCTCGAAGCTGGAGCAAGTGTTTAGAGATATATACGATAATAAGGTGCCAGAGCTATGGAGAAAGCGGTCTTACCCAACACTGAAAGCGCTTGGATCATATGTAAATGATTTTATAGCGCGTTTGTTGTTTCTACGACGTTGGATTGAGGAAGGTCCCCCAGCGATGTTTTGGCTCAGCGGATTCTTCTTTACACAATCGTTCTTAACGGGTGTGATGCAGAACTATGCACGCAAGTACCATATCGAGATCGATAAGCTCGTGTGGAACTTTACAGTTATGGACGAAAGCAGCTTTGATGAAGCACCGCAGGATGGCTGTTACATTTACGGTCTGTTTCTGGAAGGCGCTGGCTGTGAAAATGGTGTCCTGACTGAAAGCAAGCCAAAGGAACTATTTCTAGAATTTCCTATTTTGAGGTTAGTACCTTCCCATGCGGATGAAATTGAGGCTAAATATGTTTATCGATGCCCATGCTACAAAACAACTGACCGCAAGGGTGTACTATCTACGACAGGCCACTCCACTAACTTTATCCTCACTATCAATCTCCCGATTGATCCCATAGACAAGGAAGATCACTGGGTGCTGCGAGGGGTTGCTCTTTTCACACAAGTGGAGTATTAAGTGCCCTGATTATTTGGTACTAGTTCCTTGTGAGTGCATTTAGTCGCGCTCATGTATAATATTTTAGTGGAAAAATGGTTACACCATTTTAAACCGATGTAATACAGAAACTTGAATTCAATATCATTGAAGGTAAAGTACAATTGTTTGTGGGAATAATAATGACAACAATATTGTCGCTTCTTCTATTTAATGATAACATTTTTTCCCCATTTTATGATGCTCATTCTCATATTTCCCTCTCTTCATGTTTCTTTTTTAGGGAAAGGAACAAACGCTTGCTCCAATAAGCTAATGTGACTTTTGGGTTTGAATAGAAACTCACCATTTTTTCCATCCTCTCACGTATGCGGATTACTACTACACAAAGGCCATTCGTCAAAAATGGTTCTGTTGCGAAATCCAACCAATCTCAACGGACACGTTGAGTGACTAGGAATCTACTGGAAGAGGACAATCTGGCTCTACGGGTGGCCATAACGAGGATTTCAACGGCAAATATAGCCATTTTTTCACGTTCCAAACGTTTTTGCTTCTACCTGTAACCACGCCATGGAACTCTTTAGATGCCCCACAGTCACATTTATCGTTCATGTTACTGTGTTAGCGCATTAAACCTTCTATCAAAATGGCTAGTGGTGAGGTGTGAAAGCTTACATAGCCGTGGGTTGTCGTAATCGACCTCGAACTTACCCAATACAGTATGCGAGAGGTATGGAAAGGAGTTGTGAGCAGCGATTCCAATCAGATATCACCATCGTTTCGGTAAACGTGATGGTTTTACGATGTGTCGCATGGGTCAACACCCCTACCAGGAGAATCGAAGAAAAATAAAAATAGGAATATAACTATCGATGCGTTTTTAGACACATTTTTAAATTCTTCTGTTGTGGATATCCCCTTATTTGATTTATCTTTCATCCTTCCTCCTCCTGAAAATTTTCTCAGTGAGCATATCATGCGGCGCTTACACCTAGTGGCATCCTCAAGGGGTATGAAGTTTGGAGCCCCTGTGCAATCGTATCTTTGCAGTACCTCAACAGAGCAAGACACTAGTGCAGGCAATGTCGTTGTAAAAGAATGTCCCCTTGATGGTGTGTGTCTATTAGAAATGAGCTTACCAAAAACTAACGCTCTCAGCTCATCTCTGATGTCGCGTCTTTTGGTTGCTATCAATGAGGTTTGTGATCCGGAAAAGGGCTTTCACCAAGGCATTATTCTTACCTCCAATACCCCATGGAATTTTTGTGGAGATTTTGATATCCAAGCATTGTGTAAATGCTCTTCTCAGGATGAATTTAATTTGTACTATGAGAAACTGCAGACACTCTTTACAACTCTACATTCCCTTCCCATTCCTATGATGGTAGCCATCAATGGTCACGCCTTATCTGGCGGCAGTATATTGGCTCTTGCTGCTGATTATCGGATAATGGTAAATTCTCATCCTACCGAAGACAAGCCTTTCATGATTGGAATGCCTACTTCTCACTATGGTATGAGGGTTTCACCCTACATGGCGGGGTCACTGGACCATGTTGTTGGGTTTAGAAAAGCAGAGGCACTACTTGTGGACGGATCTCTGCTCACTGCTGAGGAGGCACTTACGTGTGGTTTAGTGGACGAAACTATAGGAACTCCCGATGAAGCCATTTTAAGATGTTTAGTAGAGATGGAAAGGTATATCAAAATGCCGTCTTTTGTGCCGTACTGGATCATAAAGGATGCATTTCGTAAAAAACTACTGGCACCTCTTTGCACTCAAGCACTCAGAACAGCCGATATGATCAACGCCTACAATATGCTGCAGTTCCCTGGTGTTAGAAAAAACCTTGAATTGTCCATGAAATCACATAACAAAGATAGCGAGAAGACATTTAGTGGACCGAATCAGTGACAGTTTTTTTTCCAATAGAAAGCAATATAAAGATAAGACTTCACAGTGTAGCTACTTAGTGTGCACACCGCCTGTAAGTCCGTACCGCTTTTCGAGAATTCACCATGCTGATCTCCCGAGATGTGATGCCCTATCGATGTGTACGGTAAAAGGGGAACCCCTCCCTCCCCCACCACCACCATTTTTACTTCGCTGTGACTCCGTTTAATCCCAATGGGGCTGGTTCCACCACACGTGACGACATCGGTCCAAGTTATCTTGTGCGGCGTATCGCTGGCTTGGCCACAGTGACAATGCTGGTATCCCAGCATTGCGCTACAGTAATAGGAAGACGTCAGACAGTTTAGGAAATCCGAGCGGGGCTTGGGACACCCTAACCCAGCCTTTGAGACGGGGCAGAACTACCAAAGCCTCACGGGGCGTGGAGGCTGGGTGATCCGCACTGGCACTCTGAGTGGGGTGTTGGTCCCGACCTGTAGAAGAAACCTGAGAGCTTCTAGGTGGTCACATAGAAAGAGAGCCCAGTGGTTGTTACAACACGGTTTCTTTACGAAATTAGATCATTGTTGTGAATGCAGTTGATCATCCATAAGATGGGCAAACAGGAAGATGGAGCCTGATCCTGCTGATCCCTAAACTCGGGA